AGGTACGATGATACGCAACGAGACTCGTTCCGGAGCTGAGGGGATTGAGCTATGAGGAAATATTGAGAAAACTGGACCTTATCACACTGAAAGAAAGGAGAGATAGGGAGGGGACATGATAATAGCATATAAGATTCTGGAGAAAATAGACAAAGACAAAGTAGTAGACAAAGCAGTGTTGCTGAAAGCTAGGAGCAGCAGAACGAGGGGGTCACAGGTGAACACTAGAGACGCAAATGAGTCACAGGGACGTCAGAAACAACTTTTTCAGTGTTAGAGCTGCCAATAAATGGAGGTAGAAGTAATTTAGATGTAAAAGTCGTTGAAGCAAATTAGATTCCAAGTTTTTAATGTAAATATGATAAAAGTGTGAGGAATGAGTCGTAGCATTACTCTATGAACGTTCGGCAGGCGGGGCTAGGAGCCCAGCTCGACCCTGCAAGCATATCTAGGTGAGTACATGAAATTTAAATAAGTTTATTGAGGTAAAATACACACAATGGGATGAGGTAGTTCAAGCTATTCTCACCCCGTGTGAGTACATAGGGCCTCGCAGTCGAGTGGACAGTGCTCGGGGGTCGTTCTAAGGGCTCGGGTTCGATTCCCGGCCGATGCAGAAACAAGCGGCCAGTTTTTTTTCACCTGGTGCTCCTGTCCACCTAGCAGTAACTAGGTACCTGGAAGTTGACAGTTACTACGGGCTGCATCCTGGGGATGTGTTTGTGTGTTAGATAAATATATGTAGTAGATATGATAAGAGGAAAATAGGTCGGGAGTCAGTACATTAGACAACCGAGGGTTAGAAAGGCGGGGTCCAAGAGCTAACATCTTAATCCAGCAGGCACAAATAATAAATACACACACACAGACAGTACACGTGCGCGCCTATTGTGTTCATACACCTACCTACCTTAAGGCACCTGAGATAATTACACACAGAAATCACAATAGCGTGATGCATCAATGAACAAATCCACAAGGGCCGTGACGAGGATTCGAACCCACGTCTGAGAGCATCCCAGACGCTGCCTTAATCGAGAGCAGCGTCTGGAATGCTCTCAGACGTGGGTTCGAATCCTCGTCACGGCCCTTGTGGATTTGTTTACCTGAGGTAATTGTTATTGTAAGAATTTTGTCTGTAATAAATTTAGCAGTCTCTGAATGAGGAAACATTAATGTCTTTCTTCTTCATTCTAGGATATCCGGCGCCAGTGTGGAGCGTGGTGACTGTTGCGGTGCTGGGGGCCACAGTGCTGCTCTGGCCCCACTAGGAACCCCTAGAGTCCTTAATCACCCAAATGAACCCCCAGACATCTGGAGAATCGCTCCGACGCACTCAAGTCTTCTATTGTACTGAAATTCAAGTTTCAGTTCTCCAAGTGGTTGGCAGGACTGCGGGCCGTCCCTCAGTCCCGCAAAGAGGGCGCGGGGCCTTAGTGTCACTGTGTACCTTTGTGTGAAGACAATGACGAGTAGAAGAGTGTCGCTGACGGGAACCGAATAAACATTCCAGAGTGTTTTAATATCGTAAATTACAACATCGCACCGTGACCAGTTGCATAACACCTCGAGTCCTTCAGTACATGCATCCTAATCCTAAATGGAAGTGTCAAGAAAAGTAAACAGTAGACACTAAGTCGCATATACTCTCCTGGTTAACAAACTCACTTTGTTAGTGAAAGTCTCGAGTTTGAGTGGTGGAGGCAGGGTGGGTCGATTGGCCCCCACTCTAGCTCACTCGAGCGTCACCTGTGCATCATCCCGTACGTGTGAACCTGGATGTGAAAGCGATCGGCGGATCGTCATGCGCTTGAGACAAACATGGCGCTTAGTAACCTAACCGCTCTAGCGTTGGCCACGAGGCCCCGAGTCCCTCCCAACACTCACTGAGCACACACTGTCCTCGGGATAATTGTCCTGTGCACCACATGAATTCGTGCTATATACGTAGCTCCCAATAAATGATTCTGTTGTTGTCTGAACATTGTTATAACGCAGGACAAGCGGCCGACTAAGACTTGAGGTGTGGCAGCCGTGGGCACAGTCACGCCTCAACCATCATATGGCCGTGTGTCGCCTCTCCTTCCACTTAAATGTGCCTGGAGGAAAACAATTTAGATATGTATAAGTGTTTTCTGGAAATATTAAGAGAACGTATGGAGGTTCGGGACTCAACCAAGACGCAGACATTGCCAATATGGCGGGTGTCAACAGGCCATTTGATTCCTCGAGTGAAAACTGAATGATCTCCAGAGGCTCCGAGGTAGGCCTCCACTTCTTCTGTCTTGCTCATATCTTAACGCTGCATGCAGCAGCGTCGTGCTCTGAAGTCAGTGTACAGTGCTGTGGTGTCTTGCAGTGAAGTCAGTGTGGTGTTTTCAAAGTGCTGCAGTGATGTCGATGTACAGTGCTGCAGTGAAGTCAGTGTACAATAGTCTGGTAGATCCCAGATCTTAGTTGGGTTCTCTTTCTACTGACAATTCTACCCTTATTCATATATATATATATATATATATATATATATATATATATATATATATATATATATATATATATATGCGAACAAGCCTGAATGGTCCCCAGGCATATATATATATATACATATATATATATATATGCCTGGGGACATACATATTATTTCAATTATATATATATATTCGGGAATGCAAGTTGAGTGTGTGAGGTGGTAAGAATCGTTTCCATTCTCTCTTGACGCTACCTTTCTGCTCATGATCACGCTTGAGTGTTTTATAAACAATTAGATTATGTAAATATAGACATGTTTATGTTCTCAGCCTTGAAAACATAAGCGGAGAATAAACACTACAGAGCTCATATGTGTGTAAAACTTTTTTTCATAAATGAAGGAATATGACACGCGGAATATTATTTTGGTTTACATTTACATATTTATCTCCACGAATTCAATTAATATTTTTACATTGTAAGGCACATTTGTGTTTGTTTAATGTACTTTCTCGGTTATATTTCGGGTAGATGAAGTGTAGGAAGTTTTGTCGTTTGGTCAGTGGTCACGTGAAAGATTACTGTGTCCCAGTATTATTGCTATATGTCCAGGGAAAGATATATATATATATATAAAGGGATACAACATGTTACATCTGGCACCCCTTCATCAACCCATACAACGCGTCACATCCGGCACTTATCTAGAACTCATACAACGCTTAATGCTCTCTCGATATGTCTTTTGATCTTAGACTTCATTTGTCACATGCTACAGCTGCCTGACTTGGGTTAATTAATGCTACCTTGAGGTTAGCTTGAGATGGTATCGGGGCTGAGCGTCCCCACGGCCCGGTCCTCGACCAGGCCTCCTGGTCGAGGACAGGGCCCCAGCATAGAGTCCTCCAGGACTCTATGCTGCGCTCTATCTCATATTATGCTTGGGCTCTGGCGTTGCTGTCAGCTTATGTTCACACATACGTATAACGTAACCAAATCTAGACCTAACTTGTTTTTATTTCGGGTTAAACATGATCTGTTTAGGCTTAACATGTCTATGTTTATGCCTAAAATGTCTTTATTTAATCCAAACATGTCTGTTGAGGCCTAACGTGTGTGTTTTGACCCAAACATTTCTTTCGATAGACTCAACATGTCTTTCTCCAATCCATCCTCCTCAAATTAAATACTTTCTGTAGCCATGTGGACAATTGTACCAGTTTGTAGTAATAGAGCCCCAGTAAGTCATATTTTGTACCTTTTTTTATAGAGCCCAGAAAAAATCAAGCTAAAACCAAATTTAAATTACCCTATCTTGAGGTTATCTTGAGATGATTTCGGGGCTTTAGTGTCCCCGCGGCCCGGTCCTCGACCAGGCCTCCACCCCCAGGAAGCAGCCCGTGACAGCTGACTAACTCCCAGGTACCTATTTAGTGCTAGGTAACAGGGGCATTCAGGGTGAAAGTAACTTTGCCCATTTGTTTCTGCCTCGTGCGGGAATCGAACCCGCGCCACAGAATTACGAATCCTGCGCACTATCCACCAGGCTACGAGGCCTCCCTCCCTAGGCCTAGTGTAGGCCTCAGATAGCGTATATTAGACCTAAGATGGTGAGGTCAGGTGGGTAAGATCTTATTAGCAACATAAATTTACAATATTTTCCAGTTTGTCCAAATTCAGTACGACAAAAGTCTGTACTTTCTGGTGGTCCATCACAATATATTTGTACTGTACTTTCGACCACACCGTTACTGTAAGTGCTTTCATTTTAGGAGTCTGAGCTCCAAGCTTTCTCCCGTTTCTCCAAGCTTGCTCTCCAAGCTTTATCACCATCTGGTAGCAGGGCTTCGTTGTCCAGTTCTCCATGCTGTATGCCAGCCACCTTTATCTTCCCCCCCCCCCACCAAACACACATGTCCTGCCCCTGCTGTAACCTCACCACACACCCTCACACGTCCTGGCCCCCTGCTGTAAGCTCACCACACACCCTCACACGTCCTGGCCCCCTGCTGTAAGCTCACCACACACCCTCACACGTCCTGGCCCCCTGCTGTAAGATCACCACACACACCCTCACACGTCCTGCCCCTGCTGTAACCTCACCACACACCCTCACACGTCCTGGCCCCCTGCTGTAAGCTCACCACACACCCTCACACGTCCTGGCCCCCTGCTGTAAGCTCACCACACACCCTCACACGTCCTGGCCCCCTGCTGTAAGCTCACCACACACCCTCACACGTCCTGGCCCCCTGCTGTAAGATCACCACACACACACCCTCACACGTCCTGGCCCCCTGCTGTAAGATCACCACACACACCCTCACACGTCCTGTCCCCCCTGCTGTAAGATCACCACACACATCCTCACACGTCCTCCCCCTGCTGTAACCTCACCACACACCATAATAGCTCAGATCAGTGAGATTAGTATTCAGCCGTCACAATAGCACATCCTAGTAATATTGTCAAATTGGAATGCAAGTTGCGCGCCTGATTCATAAAGACTGACTGTAGAAATTTGATTAAATTCCACCTATTCCTCTATGCATCCTGGGCTGCAGAGCTGAGAGGCAGGGGCCAGATTCACGAAAGCACTTACGCAAGTACTTACGAACCTGTACATCTTTTCTCAATCTTTGGCGACTTTGTCATCTTTTCTCAATCTTTGGCGACTTTGTTTACAATTATTAAACAGTTAATGAGCTCCGAAGCACCAGGAAGCTGTTTATAACAATAACAACAGTTGAATCGGAAGTTTTCATGCTTGTAAATTGTTTAATAAATGTAACCAAAGCCGTCAAAGATTGAGGAAAGATGGACACGTTCGTAAGCGCTTGCGTAAGTGCTTTCGTGAATCTGGCCCCAGCTCTCTGGTATTCGCTAAGATGTACTGCGGTGGTGCCACACACACGCACCATACTGTGGTGTGTGTTAAGGTGGCAACACTGTACTGTTGTATATTGTAAGATGGAAGAACCTGATTGTATAGTCTGGGATTGTGTTGACGATGTTAACCTAAGGAACAGTATCCTTCCTCTGATAGGATATGATCCAGAGCGATTCAGAACAGATAAAGGAACAGTGAGCCAACACGAACCGTCTTGTCGAGACTAACTTCATCTTCGTTATAACTTAAGTTACAAATATTCTGATACAACGAAAGTTCTTGTTAAGTTCAGTTACATCATGGTGGAATTCATAGACAAAATCAAAATTATATCATAGTTATTCGACATCTAACATCAAAGTTGTTTTCGATATGAAAATGAAACAGTATTTTACTATACCAAAGAATACCCAATAATTTAGATGTTCCAGTAATATGTGTGTGAGCAGATCACATCATGGGCATTGTTGCTCTTCAGAAAGCCTACATGTGTTTATTATTAGCGTTATTATACGTCATTATTATTATTTAATATTATTTTCACAATTATTATTATATACAGGGTGGGTCATAAGTCTTATAAGGGTAATAATGATTTATTTGAAACCGTACTGAGGGAATGGGGGGGGGGAGGCAGGAGGAAAGGCTCTGCGCATGCGCACTAGAAGCAACATTGTAAAACCCCCCTTATATATATATATATATATATATATATATATATATATATATATATATATATATATATATATATATATATATATATATATATATATATATTAATTTCATGACATTGTGTTCCTTTATTCCTTCAATTAATTATTCCTTCAATAATTAATTGGACTTTGGGCCACCCTGTAGAGTACTTAGTCACACCGTAGGTTAATGACCTCATTTGGTACAGGAAGGATTTCAATATAGTCACAGAGTGTCGGAACTGTATTTGCTCTACATTCCAAATGATTGTATATATTTTTCTAATGACAGTCAAACAAGTAAAACTCATTTAAGTATATATATATAAATATATATATTTAGGAAGACGTTACGCCACGTCCCAAAAAAATGACCTAAGTTACAGGAACTTTTCTTTTCTAGTCTCTGGTTTCATACACACACACACACACACACACACACACACACACACACACACACACACACACACACACACTGCTCATGATGCAAAGTCCAAAGTCTAGCCAGGTTTGTAATAACCTGGTAGTGAGTTAACTCCAGTCACTAATATATATATGAGTGTGTGTAAGTAACTGTCTGTAAGATGTAGTTGGTCTACACACACACACACACACACACACACACACACACACACACACACACACACACAGACACACAGACACACACAAGGCCTATTGTGTCTCAATGTCATGATATAATACAAATCATTATGATGCAATGGTTTATACGTTCGTTAATCTTTGTCAAGGAAATGCCATACATACATACATACATACATACATACATACATACATACATACATACATACATACATACATACATACATTGAAAAAACTAAAATAAAATATTAATTTTAATTTTCAAATTCCATTACCCATAGTCATGTATTTGTATTCATTTTGTATTTGTAGAAATAATTACTCATTTTTTTTAATATATATGTATATATTGTAAATATATTTGTTTACGAATATTGTTGTCATTGTAAATAAATTGCCGTAAATGACTTCTTGTTTCATATCCCTGTAAGTTCATGTAAATGCACAATTTTATTTAAATTTATTTTGACCACAAAATCTGATTCTTTGGAAATCAACCATATGCCTTTCTATTTTCGTACTGGCATCCTGAATAGGCACTCTTGAACAGTTCTTGCAGGTCGGAGTTCAATCCCCGATCCCTAAGTGATTGAACAACATTCCTTTCCTCTGGCCAAGCTTAATTCCTTATCCTCCTAATTGATTGATTGATAAAGATTAAGCCACCCAAGAGGTGACACAGGCATTATCCGCCTAGTCCTCCTAAGTGCTATATAGTCGCAATGGCTTAGCACTTTCTCTTACGGGTTCACCATAGCCCGTGCTACATGGACACTTCGTTCTGAGTAGCTAAATCTAAAACAACAACAACAGCACTTTCTCCACACACAGCACCGCTCCTGTGCCAGGTAA